TCCCAAAGTTGGGCTTGGGACCCAATTATGGGTCATGAAGCACCTTGGATAATCTCCAGAAATCAATTTAAAGGGTAATAAAATAATTGCTGATGTAACATTTTTCCTATAATTATTACAAAAACCCAAAATAAGTATAAATAAGTATTTATATTTGTGTACAAATGAAGTTTGTGTACTCAGACCAGTAATATTTGGGGTCACAAGTTTTTGCCATGAATATTTTGTGGGTCAGAAGACAACAAGTTTGGGAACCACTGCTATAGAGCACTCCTTTATTCACATTCACACGGTGTTCGTTTCCTCAGCCCCGGGTCCAAATAACACCACTGTCCTGTCAGACGGGCTGCAAACTGAGTGGAAATCAGCTGAGCTAACAACACCGACCATCTGTTCTTTGATTCCAGGTCCATCCGAGCCGCCGTGAACAGAAAGACTGATTCATGTCCTTTGGAAAATACAACGAGGCTGTGTGGACACAAGGTCCACCCGCAGACGATCCCACGGACACGGATGAGTTTTTATCGCCTCCTGGACCTCTGGGACCAGTTTCCAGATGTGTTTCTGCACCACTGAGACCYCACGGTGATACACTGTATGTTTGCTGCTCCTCAGCAGGTCTTAACTTCTGCAGAGAAACACATGAAACATGCAGGACTGGGTCACYGGTCGTTTTGGGTTGGTCAGGGTCAGGGAACTGATAACTGGTCCAGAGGTTTGGAACATGGACTAGGTCCAGAACCAAGGGCGACTTAGGTACCAGAGCACATTTTGATTGAAAAGAATCATCGTGGTTCTGCTCAGGGGGGCCAGTTGATGTTAGCTCGAGATTAAAGAAAAAAGTTTTGTGTCGTCTCTTTGTTGGTTTGTCACCGTTAGGACGACAACTGGAGAACTCCCAGGATCCTCCTAAAACCAAGGTAAGAAAAGTACCGTATTTTTACACAAAGTACCGTATTTTTACACAAAGTACTGTATTTTTACATGAAGGAGGGAGGTTTCATTGATGTGAGGAAGATGAAGAAAAGAGAAGAAGACACGGGGGCTGATGGTGTTTTTGTGTTCTGAACATTTGCTGGAAAACGAGCCGTCATCCAGATTTCACTGCGTCTGTCAGAGGAGACATCAGGGGACGTCCTRGAGCCGGATCGGCGGGGAGGGGTTTTCTCACTCCCTCTGAATGTGTGGATTCTTCAATGTTTACGGATTCATGAAAAAAGCTGGAGCTGATGTGATTTCCTGCGTGCGTTGACACGTGTCTCGGGAGGCYGCTCAGGCCGAAGCGTGGCGCGCCGAGCTCTGAGTCACTGCGTTAGTGTCACAGCAGATGAACCCCCCACCCCGTCCCTGAGCTCCGGCTGCAGCCAGAGGCACTTTGCATGATCGCCTTGATAATGACCGATCGCACCGTTTGGAGGGAAATTGGTCCGGATGTGAAGGAGGGAAGGAAGGAGGGCTGAAAGAAAAGGGGGCTGCAGCAGACGGGGTGGAGGGATGTTAAGGGGAGTAATGAAGGATAATATCGTGTGCATCAAGTGATACGTGCACTTATAACGGCTAACAGCTRCTTATTACGGACTGTCATCTGCTCTGACTGCAGCACCTGTCAGGATCCTGCTGAATTTATCATGACGTAGAGAAAAACACGCCTGCTCCAGCTACAGTAAGTCTCTGGCTGTGGCCTCGCTGGCAGCTGAGTCTGAGGCACGTGGCAGACCCCGACACGCTTCGAGGAACCCTCAGCACGGCACGGTGCAGCGATGAGGGAGGGAGGTCGACAAACCGACAACCTCGAAAAAAACCCTGCAAAAATCCAGACAAAAAGTGGCTGCAAGACATCTGCTAAAGGTAGCAAAACGCTAACAAAAGGGGAGCAAGCTGCAGCAGAAATGGCAACCTAAAAGCTAAGAGTAGCTAAAGACTGGATTTAAGAATAAGAGGCAGGCTGAAGGATGCCAAAAGAAAGGAAAAAGTAGCAAAACTCAAGCTAAACGTAACACTGCATTAGCTAAAGTTAAAAGAACGAGGTTAACTAAGGGTAAAAAAAAGGTTAGCTAAAACACAAAACTAGCAAAATGTTAAAGTCGCAAAAGGTTAGCTGAAGGTAGAAAAAAGCTGTGAAGCTAAAAGAAGCAAAACGCAAACTGAACATAATAGAAATTTAAAACTTAAGGTTTAGCAAAAAGCTAAAAGTAGCAAAAGGCTGATGCTAAAAACAGTAGCTAAATGTAAAGCAAAACACTAGCTAAAAGCTTCAAGTAGCACAAGACAACTAAAAGTGCTGGTGTGCTACTTTTAAACTTTAATTAGCTGAAATACAAAAAGTATCCCAGTACGCTACATTTAATTTTAGTTTGCTGAAGGCTAACTAAAAGTTAAAAGGAGCAAAATGCTAGGTAGAAGCTAAAATCAGCAAAACATTACATTGTAGCAAAAGCTAAAATTAGCAAAATGCTGTTTAAAATATTTAGTCAGTAAAGGAGCTACAGTATCTTAAAGGTAAAATTGATTTAACATTAGCTAAAAGTAGTAAGCAGCTAAGTAAAAACTATAAGGAGCAAAATATGAGCTAAAAGGCTGAAACTTTCCATGGGCTAGCTAAAGCTAAAAGTAGGAAAAGGCTGGCTAAAGGTAGCCGAATGGTAGCCTAAAGCTAATACTAGTTAAATAAAGGCTACAAGTTTAAAGCAGAAATGTAGACATCGCTCTTCACCGTTTGTCCCAGTGTTCAAAAATAAATCATTTTTTGAGCGGAGTACATGTTGGGAATGATTTATCTAAACTTCAGCTCAGCACAAGCATCAATCAGGTGTGAATAACAGGGGCTCTGGTCCTGGTCCTGGTGGGCCACCATCCTGCATGTTTCTGTTGTTTCTCTGCTCCAAAACACCTGATTCATTTACTCCTCATTTGACTCAGGTGTGTTGGAGCAAACCTCTGAAACACGCAGGGTGGTTGCCCTGCAGGACCAGGACTGGACCCCCTGCTCTGAAACGATGCAGCTTTTTTAAAACTAACTAAAGCAGAAACAAAAGTCACATGTCAGCCGGTTAAAGCCGTGTTCCTGTGCTGCAGGTGTGTCCTCACATTACTGAGGTCTAATGWTGAACTTTGTGTTAAAGTGTTTGAGTCACAGCTCGCTAATCAGGATCCGATCATCCACCTCCGCTCCGTCTGATTGTCTCCCATCGTCTGACGGCAGCCAGGCTGATTATCAGACAGGAAGTATGAACAGGAACTCTTAGAAACTATCCAGAGGAGCTGATGAGCACGTACGGCACAGTATTTCTAATACGAGGAAGGAGGTATTTAAGAATGTATGGATAGAATAGATGGACGGACGGATGGAGTGAAACTGACCGAAATGAATGAAGTAAAATTTGTAAAAAAAACACTCTTTGACCTCAATGAGATTCTGGGCTGAAAAAGTTCCATTTGAAGCTCGACAGCAGCTGAAATCATCATTCTGAGTTTGAAACAAGTGAAACAGGTGAACAGGTAACAGCTGGACTGACATGTTGACACATTTTACAGTTTTTAACACCTCACCACAGAATAAATCTGAAGTGACGTCATCATGCTCTCAGTTCATCACCAGCAGCTTTTACACATTTCCATCCATCCATCCATCCATCCATCCATCCATCCATCCATCCATCCATCCATCCATCCATCCATTTTCTTCCACC